ACAGAGGAGCCACACTTGGCTGTCCAGGAAGAGGAAGGAAGTCAGAGCTGAGGATTTGTGTTTGGTGGAAGGTGCCTTCCAGCCCTGCAGGGCACAAAAGGATATTTTGGGCTGACTTTCTTTTGACCTGTCTCTCCTCAGTGAGGAAACTCCAGCTGGGGAGTGGTTCCCAGCACTCCAGCTCTGTCAGGGACATGCTGGGTTCATCTGGGCCGTTGGGCTCTGGCAGATGAATCCTTGCCTGGACATCAAAGTGCTGCAGGCAGCTGGGGCAATTTGCTTTCTCTTGTGGTAGCACCTGGATTTTGACACAGCCCTGGGCAAGTGATGTAACCAGGACTGAACTTCCTCCTAAACCAAGGGAGGTTTGTGGCATGGAGCCTGGCTTAATTAGGGGTCTGAAAAAGAGGAAAGGAGCTGGATGCTACTGGCACTGGAGCCTGGAGGAGCAGGTCCACAAGGAGAAACTGCCTGGGACCACAAGGGTTTTCCTGTTCCTCTCTGAGCTGGTGATAGTGGTGGCAAAGTTCACCAGGCAAAAATCCTAAATAAATTATTGGGTTAAATAGCAGGCCAGTATCATTCAATATGACAATATCCTTGGAGATATTCTGAGAGATCTTCACATCAGCACAGATCTCGGACTGAGAGCTAATAATGAGAAAGAGCAGAGCTCAGTCTGATGTAAATTTATTGTAAAGTATGATTCAAAGCTGCTCTGCGTGCCTTTATCCAGGGTAAAATAAATCAAGAAGGCACCTCCACTTTGTTTCCACTGTCAGTACACTCATAGGGGTGTAAATTCTGGCTGAATGTTGAAACTCAAAGGTGGGTTCAGAACATACTTTTGAATAGCAATTAAGAAAAACCTACATCCCTTCTTGCTCACTGGCTATGATGAACTCCATTTTATGCTGCATAAATCATTGGGTTGGATAGCAGGCCAGTGTCATTCAGTATGATAAGCCACTGTAGACCTCTGAATCATGATAATGCACAGAATCATCCAGAAGCTGCTCCAGCTCTGGAAAGAAGTTTTGTTACTGTCCTGGCTTTCACAGCAGTGACTCAAAGATTCCTCAATGATTCTGTGTTGAATCGCTGTTCTTCTCAATAAAGAGTTTCATGTCTCAGGTCTGGGACACTTAGGCATGTGATTTTGGATGAAGGGCAGGATCAAATCCTGAGGGCTCCCCCCTCATCCTCACAGCCACCACCTGCAGCCATCACCTTTTTCCCATTTGACTGAGCTGGCAAAGGTTTTGGGCTTCTGAGGCTGCTCATAGGGCTGCTCCCCATCTCTGCTGGAAGCAGCTGGGAGCATCCCTCCACATCCCACTTCCAGGGCTCAGGGAGCACCTTAAGCACCCCTGGCAATGGAGACCCCCGCTGGAGATGCTTTGGCAGCCCGGGCTCTGCCAGGCCCTGTCCCTCGGCCCCACAGCCCCACCTTGAGGTCCTTGGAGCGCTCGGTGCTGTCCTGCACGGCCCGGCTCTGCTCCAGCGGCGGCCGCAGGTTCGCTGTTATTGCTTTCTCCTGCTTCTCCAGGTCACTGGTGACTTTCTCCAGCCCTGCCAGCAGCTGGCGTCCCCGAACTGATGCAGCATCTGGACAGCAAGAGGAGACCAGATTAAAGCTGTTTATGGGAGCTGGGTGTGGGCTCAGTCCCACTGGTGAGTGCCAAACCCTCATCCTGCTGCATTCCCCCAGCCTGGCCTGCTGTGCCCACAGCCTGGCTGGTCTGCCCCCCACCCATCCACGGTTGTCCCCAGGACCCTCAGGAGATGGGAAGATCCCCATAAGGTGCTCCACCACCTCAGTTCAAGCCTTTTTGTGCCCCAGGCTGCCCTACTGCCCACACCTCCAATGCTGTCTGCCTTCAGCCCCTCATAGCGCTGCTGCAGAACGTTCTTGCAGTTGTTGGTCTTCTCCCTCACGCTCACATACTGCTTGGCAATCCTGCAGGAGGGGACAGCAGGAGGTCAGTCACACCCTCAGCCTCTCCATCACCCCATCACCATCCTGGTCCAGCTCTGGAGAGTTTGGGGGGGCTGCTCCCTCGAGACAACCGTGAGGCAGGTGGGGGAAAAGCACCCTCACCCCATGTTAGGGTAGAGCAGCGTCTGCATTAGAACAGGGGAGAGGCAGCCAGCAGGAACCTGCCTGCTGAGGGAGGGTGGGCAGCTCCCCCTGCCACAATTGCCCCCAAAGCAGGGGGAGCCTGGGTGGGATCTTTGGGCAAGCAGGAATCCTGTGGGAGGAAGCCTGGGCTCCGAGAAGGCAGAGCTTCGCTGTGGGAACCCCT